ACCACTGATGTTTCATTAAGTTTAACTAGAAATTGGGTAAAATTTTATCAGAACTAGGGCTTGTGCAAAGGGATAAATCATGAAGGCCACATTTAAGTTCCCACATAGTAAATAAGTAGTTTAAAATATCAGTTGCTGTGTGTAAATAAATCTATATATTATATATATCTTATCTCATTCTTATGAAATCTTATTAGAGGGCCTGTAATTGCTAACGCAAGTGTACTATTTATCGAAAGCTCTAGCAAGCTTTGTAGTTAAAGTAAGCAACTTATTTGCCATTCTAAATAGGCTTACTTTTTTTTTTTTTTTTCATTTTTCAACCTGCCTATGAACTCTTAATAAATGTGATTTTAAGGTAATCAGCCTCATCAAAATTGCTTTCGATTGTATAACTCAAGATGTGATTTAATAGCAAAGCATCTGCCTAATGTATAACTGCAAACATTACCTCAACTTTGACTTCAGTACTCTGTAGGAAACAGCCCTAATTTCGTCTTAATATATGTCATGTAGGTGGTACTGAGCAACTGAGACTATAATATTTTTATATTAATACATATTGTCATCAATAGTATATCATATCACTTCATAAAGGAAATAAAATTGTATTTCTTGGTTAAGGAAATCTTTCCGTTATTGAGAAAGACAGCATCAAAAGGTATATTTTTTTAATCTATCGTTTTGATATAGTACAAGTGAAATATTATTGAATGATGGAATAAGCAGTATTTCTTCATACAAAATAGCTTTTCAAGTGTATTTTTCTATGTTCCATATATTGCTTTTCTGTATGCACTACTTAGCTTTAAAAAAAATGAAATAACTGAGAATTTTTATATTTTAAGGCTATATCTGACATCTTACAATATTTTAATTATTTTTTAAGGTTAGTATAGGAGATGAAATTGATCTAGTTAAAGGCTATAATCCTGATAACAGTCAGCTCATTGATGTTCATCGAGTTATAATTAAATCAGTTGGAAAAGTCACAGGAACTGGGAATTATCCTCTAAAAATGGAAGCCTACAAGTCATTGCCTATTGAAAATTATAAAGTACCATGGACTCCAGAGAAACTTGAATAATTTACAATCTGTTAGGTAAAAGGAGTTTTTTTTTGTTTTTAATCATAAGTTCTTACATTTGTAGATAAATTTAAATCTGTAATTCCAGAAATAAAAATTTATAAATATTTGTGAAGTTTTTGATTTAGAATCTGATTTTTTAGCATGGTCTAATGATGAAAGTTTCTGTCATACTGTCAATAATTTGTATGAAGTAAATAAAATTAAAATGGTGTATGACAATAAAATTTTAGATAAAAAAAAAATAGCTCAGAGACAAATGCGGATGTTTCACATTGATAGGAAATTTAAGGTCCCCCTACTTGAACACAAACTTCACAGCATGATTTCATGTTCTCAGATGGATGGTTAATTAGAGTTCAGGAAATAAATTCTACTCATCTATCAATATGATATTCAAGATACTGAGATCTCTAGGAGAAGAATTTCTTCCTGCAACAACACTTCTGAGGTTGTCTAATGAATTTTTTGTTTGATACAAATCGGATTTAATCAATCAGTTTATTTATTTACTCAGTGCTTTCAAGAAATCCTTTACCTAAATTTTCTGTAGGTAGGAATATGGTAACATTCATAAAAAGAATGTCAGATCCATGTACTCTATATACAAACTTACTGTAAGCAGATTCATGACTACATCCCATTATGTATGGGCAGGGGCGTAGCTAGAGTTTCCAGCGCCCTGGGACAACTGAAGAATTTGCGTCCCTTTCTGTGTGCCAAGAAGGGAAAATATTTCATTAAAAAATTTCGTAGCATCAATTTGGCACCTCTTGGATGCTACGCCCTGGGACAGATGGCCCCCCTTGCCCCACCCTAGCTACGCCACTGTGTATGAGTAGACACATCTGCTGGTAAATGCTTCATGGGTAATACATCTACTAATAATCATGATGACACTTATTTTTTCATTTTTATTGCTGCAATTGCTATATTTGAGGGGGATATTTTGTGCTGTTGATTGCTTGTGTTAATGTATTAAACCTTTTAATGTATTGAACCTTTATTCATCAAACGTAATGCAGGCCATTTGCTGTAGGCTTTAGCCCTGGTGTTCTCGGTGTACTGGTTTAGGTGGGCTGTCTGTTGTGAAATCAGAGAAACATAAATCGTTGGCTCTCTGGCCTTACTCATTAACCCTCTGAGTGTTACGGCCGGAAAATTTCGTATAGAAGGCTGACTTCTATATTCATTATACATGAAAATTTCTCCTAGCTTTTAGTGTATCTGATTTCGGTTTGGATGTATATTGGAAGAAAAGGAATCAAGGTACAAAATGAGAGAGTCAGTTTTTAATTAAAATCATGAAATTACCATTTATTCATGACATTTTGAGGAACTTTGAAATTTCAGGGCTAAACTCGTAACGCTCGGAGGGTTAAGCTTTTTGAATATAGTTTGCTGGGATACAAAAGTATGGCCTATGGTGAAATTCTGGTGTCCTGCACACTTATGTCTGTACCTGTGATACAGAAGTTCCATTGTGGAAAAAAAAAAAAAAAAAACTTAGTCACATTTTACTGTCTAACCAAGAAGTAGGTGCTTTTCTTTTATGCCCATGGTTCTTGTTTCCTAGAATTAATTTCCGGACCTTTAAATCTTCTTCAGAGAGCTTCAGCTGTTGATCTTGTTGTGTGAGGTTTTCCGATTCCAATAAAAATAAAGTACTAAAATTGACTTACTATATCATTTTTACAACTATCTGATACAGTGAATGCATAATTGAAAAGCATCTTTTTATGCTTTTATCATATTTATTAGTATAATTGAAATAAAAATATCATTTAATTAAACAAAAAGTAACTAGCCAGAACTTATATAAAATATAATTCCACTCTCTCATCTAAATATTATTTTTATTTAAGAGTGATCAAACTGAAATTTCTAATACTTAGTTTGTTTTCACGATAACAAGGCATTAAAAAAACTTCTTAAGAAACCCTAAAAATTATAAAGTGACTATATTATTTTTGTGACCATAAACATCATGGGCTGAGAATGTACTTCCCTTTCTTCCCAAAGCCAGATTTTATAGCTACATATTTCTGCTTTGTTTGCTTTTAGATCTCATTTCAGAATTTATTTAGAGGAAACTTTTTATCTTTAATTTACATCAAAACTGAAATGTTGTCTTTGATTTGTCAAAATTTAGAAACTGTTTCCAATAAAAAAAAAAAATTAAATTTTTATTCATCAGAAGCTTTTAAAATAGCTGTACATTTGACATAATTGGGTAACACAAGAGAGTGCCTGAATAACCATAGTAACCCCCCCCCCCGGAATGTGCATAGGAATCATTTTTAACCTTCAGTGTATGGCTCTTGTGATTTCTACAGGATACGAAATGCATCTCGTAATACAAGTTGCATGAAAATAGCATAGATAAGTGTATTTCTCTTATTTTCAACACGGATCCCACTTTTTTTTTCTCCATGTAGGCTGAGAATATTATATTAATCATATTTCACATTTTGTTTTGCACTTAGATGGCACTACAGGTTTATATCGTTGTAAGGGAGTACTATTGTTTCTTAACAGCTGAACATGATCGATGCTGTTGCTTCTTTCATTGTGGAATGGTAAGAAAATCCTAAATATGCTTAGCTCTTTTCATGATACGTCATCTGTATCAATGTATTCAGGGACGGGAAAAGAAAAACTAAAGCCAAAAGTGATTTATGATTATAACATTACAATGGGTAGTGTCGACAGATGCTATCAGGAGATGTTGAAGTATCTAGTACTTGATGACCCTGGTACCCGAAAACAACTTTGTGAATATTACAAGAAAATATGTGTCCATATATTGGATTAATGTGGAATTTATATATAATATATAGAAAAATAACAAACACGAAAAAAATCCCTTCTTGATTTCAAGCTAGCACTAGCTGTGATCGAGGAAATCTTTAACAAATACTTTTCTGCTATATGCTTATCGGTACAATCTTGTGATGATAATGTGAACTTGATTCACCTTGCTGGAAGGCATTTTGCAAACCACATACCACCAAATTCTATAAAAAAGGAACCGAGAAGGCAATGTGCTGTATGTTGCTCCAAAAAAGACAACAATGGAGAAAAAGTACATAAAGAGACTCGCATTTGATGTGTGTGTATGTGTGGGTGATTATGGCAAAGCCTCGATGGCTATTTGCCTAAGGGGAGGAATGCCTTCGTGGAGGACTTTCTAAGGGAAAATGGCTCGTATACATGTTACACATGGGAAAACCATGAAAACGCCCATGCAGCCAGCCCGTTCGCGGGATTCGAACCTTGGACCGAACTACCAGTGTTCAGCGACTTTACCCTCGGCCGCTGGTGGGCCCCACATTTGGTGTGAAGAATTTGAAGTTGGATTATGTTTAGAGTCATGGTTCAAAGTTTACCATACTAAAGTAATAATAATAATAATAGTAATAAGTGAGTACAAGTAATAGTATTTATCTGTACACATTAGTTAGCTTGTATATTTATCAAAATCAAAAAGATCCAGTGTATTTTTATATTTTTATTCCATGCACACTAAAATCGTGTGTGAGCCATATTGTATGTTTTATAAAAATTAAAAAAACTATTAAACTTCCTACACTATACTATTTTTTTATAAAGAAGTGAATGCTATATGAAGATAGAGGGGGCCATATTTCAGAATGTATCAGAATCGGGCAGTACACCGAGAGTTAAAATATTGAATTCAAGTGGAAGTTTTTGAAAATGTGGCCCTTGTGTTATGTTACACTAAAATATATCTTGTATGTGCAATCACTAAAAAAAAGGGGGGAGTGTTATGTATTGATAATTTGTGCAAAAGTATATTTGTATTAAAATGTTTTTAAGGAGAAAAAATAATTTATTTTCTGTACATAATATATGCAGAAATATAATTATACAAAACTGGAGCCATCATTTTCTAATGGCGCAGACAGCACATTATTGCTCCTGTCATCTGCAATACTTGCATGATTTTTATATGATGAAGTAATGTCTCTCTGCTTTGTACAGATGGTAAACCATTTGGATGAGTTCGAGTCTGAGTTTTTAAGTCTGCCTTTATAATATCTGTAGCTAAATGCCTGTTTTGATCAGAGTTAATATTTGTACAATAAGAAGGTCTTACAGTCACATAATTAGTTTGGCTTTTGGATGCGTCTGATTGAAAACCTGATATAGTGTCTTGCTGATCATTTCGAATACCTAGAGACTTCTGGGCACGATGCTCACTTCTCCAAAGTAAGCCACTGACTTCCTCTTTTCTATTCCATTTATCTCTAGATAACTGAGGAGTTGTATAATCAGAATGGAAATTTGCCTGGACTTTCGTATGTTTGTCTCCAGAACCAGTGCAGGAAGAACGAATTGAGTAAGCATTTGCTTGAAGAGCTGGTCGATTTGTATTATAATCAGTTGTTTCTGTATGACAACTGGTTAAATCACCTTCACTTCTACTCTCACGTTTCAATTCAGGGTATCCTAGACATCTCATTTTTAGTCGTGAAACATTTGGCACATGAGAATTCACTTTTGGTTTTGTGCCACACTGTGCTTGATTTAAATAAGTCCTATTGCAGTTGCTATTATTCGTAAAACGAGATACACCAGTGACAGTACTGGACAATAAGGATACACTGTTATGATTGCTGTTTGTCTCAGAAAGTAAGTCTTCTGATTTAGACCTCATAAGAGGTATGTTGCCATTATGGGCATGATATATTCCATTTCTAACATTTGAATTTTGATGGTCACCATTTGTTGGTACACCATTTTGACCTTTATGAAGCCAAGCTTTCATTTCATTCTGAAGAGCTCGGACGCAGCTTTCTTGTTGCTGTTCCAGTTCTCGGCGTTCCCTGAAAAGTCGTCGATCTATGCGTTCAGCACAGTCTCCTCTCTCAATGGCTAGACTTTCCTTCATTTTTTGATTTAAGTTAAAAAGCTGATCATGAGTCCTTTGCTCAAGGTGAGTAATTTTTGCCTTTAAATCCTCATTCCTGCTGTCTATGTGCTCTAGTAGCTCCTTCTTATTAGCATCTAATTTCTTTTCAACATGATTAAAAAAAGGTGCACAATAGCACATGTATCCAAATCCTCGAGGACCCTAGAATGACAAGAAAATATTTCAGTTGTGAAAATAGAGACCAATTATATTGACTGCTTAGATAGCAGTCATAGGTGTTTAAAGACAATATTAATTTTTCTATTTGCCTTCTTAATATGTGAGAAATAGTTTATAAATTTTACATTATTAACACTTTAATAATTTAAGAGAAATATTTTAATCATAGTATCAAAAATAGTGCTTAATTAACACTGTCATAGTCTTTAACCACTTTTCTTCATGAGGCATTTTATTATAGATAACAAGAGCAGTTTTAAACAGAAATACATATGATTAAAACATATATGAGAATGGTAAAACAATATTTAAATAAATCATCCATAATTATGCTAGGAAGCAAAAAATAAAGTTATTTGTATTGAAACTTGTTGTGATCAGTCTCACTTGTCTGACAATAACAAGATTGCAAATTTTATTGTGACAGAGTGTAGGATTGTTTCTATCAATTTTGAAGGAAAATCCAATGGTCTCCCACTCCTCTTTCTCTACTACCAAATTATTCAAGAGGTCTTTCAGCTCATTGTGTATTTTAAGTGCCTCTGCTGCAAAGATACAAACAGCCAAGTCTTCTCTGAGATTTTTTAGTGGTTAACAATACTAATAATCCGAACCACTGTATTCATCAGGGCAAATCAAAAGAAATCTAAAATTGTAATAATTGATTGATGTATTGAAAAAAACTGATCAGTTCAACACCCTTTTTTCCCCTCTGCTTTTCCCATAAAGTATTATAAATATTTCCTTTTCTATAATGAATTTCTAATTTTAATAATAATTTGAATAACTGCCAAAAATTACAACATGATGTAAGATACATATATTATATTCTGTTTCCCTTGAGTGTTAAACTAAACATTATGTTAGGAGATTTATACATAAAAGCTTTTTAATATAAAAATTAACTACATTGTTTTTTTATGTTAAAAATGATCCATAAGAACAGTCACAGAAAATACTATGTACCCAAAATGTACATACAAGGTGCACCCATAAAGTAACCATACGAATTAAAAAGACCAAGCGATAAAATTAAAAAGTGAACAGAGTGATATCTTGACTCTTATTAAAGCTAATTTAAACTGGTTTTTTCATCATTTGCATATCAAAACATCAGAGTCATTTTCATTTACTAAGAAGATATTGTACCAAAAAAATTGCTTCAGGATGGAAGAAAGTTATAACATTAAATATGTAACGAATTTAGTAAATCTGCTATCGAAATGGTAGATATGATTTTAACAGTACATGGTGATGCATCATCATCAAGAACACGATTGTATGAGAGATACAATTGCTTGTGTGGGCTCAAAAGCACTGAAGATGAACTAAAGATAGGGTACTCTTCAACTTCAAAGAATAAGGAAAATGTGGATAAAATTTGTTCTTTGATTTAAGTTGATAGATATATAACAATTCAGCAACCTTCAATCATGCTTGGGATAAGCAAAGAAAGCTTTAGGTTAATTTTTATTGAAAATCTGAAAATGAAGAAGAAAGTTTGTGCTCAATTTATACCTCGGATTTGGACAGAACAGCCCTTCCCCCCAAAAAAAAAAAAATTCTGTGAAGATTTGCTGATGACTTCAAGACAGAGCAACAATTTCTGAAAGTGTATCATAGTGTGAGATGAGGCCAGGTGTCTACAATACGACTCAGAAACAAAAAAACAAAGTGCACAGGGTAAAGGACTGTCTTCTCCCTTACAAAAAAGCATGGATTTTGAAATCAAAGACTAAGGTAATGCAGATTACATTTTTTGATTACAAAGGGCTTATTCACCATGAGTTTGTCCCTGAATATCAATCTATTAATCAGTATTTTTACGAGGAGGTGCTTTTGCAATTGGGAAACAGGATAAGGGAAGATAGAAAGGAATTTTTTTATTCTGGGCAATGTTGCTCTTTTAAAACAATAATGCTAAGCCCCATACAGCATTATCTGTACAATATCTAAGCATTCAGTCGCAGTGATAAATAATCCACCATATTGTTCTGAATTATCTTCCATCTGATTTTCTTCCTTCTTCTGAAGCTTAAGACAATGAAAGGGCAGAAATTTGAAAACATCTCAGATGTTATGCTTATTTTGCAAATGGTTAATTCTTTTGCCTTGAACATTGAAAAACTGCATAAAGTCCTCTGGCGGTTATTTTGAAGGAAATAAAATTATTTGAAGGTTAATATTCTTTTTCTTTATAAAATTTGTCTGGTTATTTTATAGATACTCCTTGTATAATATACTTTTATAAACTTTATTTTCTGTAGAAATCTTGAGTTATATAGGAACTTCTAGAAGGTAGTTAAGAAAAGAAGGTATAGTTTTCAATTATTTGAAGTAGTTTAAATATTTTTATAAAGAATTAAATTTAAGGCAATAAAGTTTTGCATTGCGAAATTTAAAAAATGAAAAATTTGCAAGATGTTATGAAGCATTTACTTTCAATTTTTCTTTTTTAAAGGCATTTATAATTTTTTTTTTTAAGAATGCAATTTTATAAAACGTTCTTTTCTCAAAAATGAACAATAAAAGTAATCAAAGATTTGTTATTTTTGAATAGTTTTGATTCATATAATGTAAAATGAAACATTTATGGCTTCATATTGTTTTGACCAAATTGTGAGAAAAAACATTTTTAATCCTCAATATTCCTAATATTTATATTTTTTTTTTTTTTAAAAACATTTCATCTGTAAAAAAAATTTAATTCCCCCTTTTTTTTAAAGAACACCTTTATTTTCTTCATTTGTAATAAATTTTAATTTTATTCACATTAAAGTATGGTGAAAATCATTTAATCTTGATGATAATATATTACTCTTGTATATTTCTTGGTAAAAATTAATTATTTAGTATGATGCTTCTATTTTAACATTGCTTCTATTGAAAAATTTGTCTAATTTCCATCATCAACATAGATATAAATAACAGTAGGCTTCTAATTAAGTGGATTAATCAAACCCCATCTAAACAAATGTTATTTATTGAAAATTAATGGAAAAATTATAATCACAACCATCGCAATAATACAAAACTGTTTGCATTACAATAAATGTTAACATTTGTTAAGTACAAAAAGGAAAAGTGCTGGAGTAACAACAGTTAATAATAGATGATGATATAATGTTTTGAAATTAACTGTTCTTGATCCTGAATATGTAAACATTATTATAATACATGTAAATTATCTGATAAAAGTATACTGCTCAGTCATAAAAATAAATCAGGCCATTAATTTTGTATTCGTGTTGGCTGCTACATAAGTGCAAGAATAATGTAAACAAAATCAAACAGCAGGTGGTTGGCCTAGTGCCATCTTAACCAATGGGCATGCTGAGCATTTGTCCGAGAGCTCCAGAGGCCCTACAAGCATAAATATATGTTTAATATTATAATATGGTTTGCCCAGAAATCCGTAATACCATTAAGTCAGCACTTGCTAAACCCCAACAGTAAGTAACAACAGGGCCGGATTTACATATAAGCTTCACAAGCTATAGCTTAGAGCCTCCACTTTCTTGGGGGACCCCCAAAAATTAAAATATAGTATAACTAGTATTAAAATATATTATAAGAGACATATAAGGTCCCAATCACATTATGTTTTGGCTACGCGGGACTTGACGTCAATAAGGACAATTCTCAGAACCCACACATTTCCAGGAAACCCACATAGCTAGGTTACCATTTTCACTTGCTACAAAGACTTGAACACCAAATAGTAATCGATTATCACTCAGATTGAGATCATGTGATACTTCAGAAGCAGAACTTTTGTTTGATTGGTTGTTCTCTACGCGGGACACAGCTCCAGCCAAAATATTTTCTGCCAAGTTTAAAAAAATCCTGCATAGCCGCTACTTCGTTTCCATAGCTAGGTGGGACTTCACTTCAAGCGAAGCTCTTTTTTTTCTAAGAATCCTCCTGTTTAAACGAGTGCTACCTGAATCTCGTTTCTCAGAATAGTTAGCAGGAACCGTTGCTAGATATGATAACCTCTTTCAGGGCCCCATATTTCAAATAGCTTAGGGTCTTATCTGGCTCTGAGTAACAAGATCTGAGTAACTCCTTTCACCCTAACCCTGGCTTGCTATTCCTTCAGACTGTTATCAAGTTATGCCACCCTATGCACATTATTTTTGGCTTTGATTATTTGATAGTTTAGTATTTCTTTCTGGTGATCAGTTTTAAGTAATTTTGCTTTACAGTTGCCTTTTTGATTACTTAGCAGGGCTTGAGGATAATGTAATAAAAAGAAACCTCTTTTATTTAATAATATAAGAACATTTATATATATTTAATAATATAAGATATATTTAATATTTAATAATATAAGATAATAAAAAGAAACTATTTCATGCAAGTTTAATGATATTGTTCTCTTGCAAATATTGTTCTTTAACCCTCTCAGCATTACGTACGGAAAATTCCGTATAGAAGGCTGGCTTTCATATACATTACACATGAAAATACCTGCCAGTATTAAATTTAACGGATTTTGTGTTGGTTGTGTAAAGGAAAGGAATCAAGGTACAAAATTAGAGAGTCTTTTTTTTTTTTTTTTTTTTAATTATAATCAAGAACATGCCATTTATTCATGGCATTTTGAGGAACTTTGAAATTTGAGGGCAAAAGCTGTAACGCTTGGAGGGTTAATACCATTTATAACATAAGATTCTACATTTCTGATGGTATTTATTCTTCCATTATATTCCTTTTGCTTTGAATCCTGATTAGACTAAGGCATCTTATTTTCCAGACTAAACTGCTTAGACATACTGGTCAATTCTTAATAGTATTTTGATGTTATTTAAAACAGGTTATTTCTCCTTCCTTTGTTTTTCTTTTATTTTCTTCAAATTCAATGTAATTTTGTGTTAACTGTGCATGCTATCCCCAGTATTACTCTTGTTAATCGGGAGTCTATTGTACTACACGAGTTCAGGGGCAACAAGGAAACAAAACATATCATATGTGTAACAATTAAATGAATTAATTTTTGTCTTAAATTATATATGATAAATTAGCCTGTTTATTATGACAAAAATAAAGCAAACTTTTTAGGTATACAATAAAATTTTACCTTTTTTATATTTCCAGCAAGATCTGCGTAATATTGCTCCCCAGTCTTCAGAGGCTCTTGTGGTAGGGATTTCAGCTTGATTGAAGGAAAGCAATTCATGTCCGGATACATGGGGCAGCCATAAGGGCTGATGTGCCCTTTCTTCTCCTTGTCTGAGAAATGGACTTTGTGATTCTTCTTGCTCTGTCAAAATAATATTAACAATAAAGACATTATTTAAATTATCCTTACAGGCACATTATTTATTTATCTAACATAAACATTGCATTCTGAAAATTTAAAAAAAAAAAAAAAAGTTTTGTTTCAAGTGGCACTCTATTAATTTTACTGACAGTTTGAATCTTAAGTTTGATGAAGTTTATTTACAGATGATGATTATTCAATAATGCTCTTCAACAGTGTACCCATATTTGTGGCAGTGAAATAGTATAATTCAACAGCCAGGCATATATTTCATTCATCAGAATATGCAGTGAACAGTTATTCATAACTATGTGAAATGAAATAATTTAAAATTCATAACAAATAATCTACACAGTGAAACTAATTTTTTTAAACTTATGAGGCATTTTCTCCCTTCTTTCTGCATGCCTTTGTGGTGTAATTGGAAACATACTCTGCACATATTTGTCTCCCAGTTGCCTTTAAAAGGGGGAGTATTTATGGTATTTTCTCCCACCTTTTCATATGCTTTTGTGGTATAATTGGAAGAATACACATTCAAGGTTTGAGTCCCGGTGAGAGCACTGTACATTTTTCATGTCTCCTGCTTCAAAAAAAAACCTAACAACTCTACAAACGTAAATAAAAGTACATTTAAGTTTTTTTTAAAATGCATTTCACTAATGCTCCGAGTGACTACCAATGCTGTTATGACAGACTTCAGCAATGTCATCAGCTGTATTTCCTGTGGGATTCGAAAGATGTGTATATTTTCATTCTTTTTGACCAGTGCTATTATTTGAATCTAGCCTCAAAAGTACGAAGTACAAGATATAGTAAATACAGCATGATTAATGTATAAGCAAAACTTATTTAATAATTTTTTATAATTTTATAAATTATATTAAAGTTTTAAAACAAACACTTGTTGATAAATAAAATAATATAAAAATTGCAAAATGGGCATTTATTTCTGGACAGTGAGGTAAAACATTTAAATTATAGCTGTGTAGGTAAGATATTTGGTGTGGTATAATGTACTGTATGTGTGTGTGTATATATGTATACAAGCATTTTTTAGATAATAGGCCCTTGTGCATACATTGGCCTCCCTTTTAAGAAAATCGTAGATATTTTAAATTTTTTTTATGTAAAGTAACATACTCAGACTTGAATATTAGCTCACCTTTTTATGTTTGTCTTTTTTCTCCTTGACGGCACTCTCCTGGGAAGTGCCACTATCTTTTTCTCTCTTCTTGGATGATTTTGAGGGCTTTCTGCTTGAAGGATCATCTACGGGAATGAGAGTGACTGGAGGATTATCCATGAGTTTCACAACTTCGTTAAATTCCTTTCTTTCAGCGATGTCTCTGGCAGTCTCGCCTTGCTGCAGAAAGAAACTTTTTGTTTAAAATAGCAAAAATATTAATGTGCAAGAAATCTGCTCTAAAAGAAAATGTTTAATAGTAAAAGATGAAGTTTAGTTTTATGATCTCCTGTTTAAAAGAAGAACAGGAACTTATTTCACATGGTATTTGATAAATGTTAAAGTGAAAATGTTTCAGTTATCGTAATGAAGTGACTTCTGATTCTAAATAAAATTATCACATTTTTTTTATTTATTAACCTTTAGTGGATATTTGTATATTCAAGAATATGAATTATTTTAGGTGAAAATAAAGCTTTTGTTTTTACGTTTAATCATAAAAATTTTTTTTTTCCTATATATATTCAAATTTACATACAGCTTAACTCAAATCAGAAATTATTTCATTCAGTGGACAAATTTACGAAAAGTAATCTCTTTTATAGAATCCGGGAAAACAAAGCAAGGATAACTTTGAGAAAGGCAACTTTTTTTACACAAAAATCTTCAAATAATACAACTTTAGTTTTAAATTCTACAAACATTTTATTTGGAATTGTTTGTGGGTAATAATATTTAAATATTTTATATCGAATTCTTCAGATATTTTGTGTAGTAAAATATAGGTGTTTTATTTCATAACTTAGTAAAAATCAGTTGTATAGCAGAAGAAAAAGTCTTCTCTGTATTTTTCTTCTCTGTTGTAAGGAAAAATAGTTTTAGCTTGGTATGCAAATTTCGAAGCAAAATTTTTAAATAATACATTCCAGAACTGCGCTTTCAAAACATTCTAATTCATTTAAAAATCTTCTTCCTTCTATTCACAAGATTTTAAAAATACATATGAATTATGATATTTTTTACACTTTTACTATAAACAAAATTTCGATTAGATTTTTCAATTTAAATACCTCTCATATTCTAATCATTCTTTTAGATCATTATTAGCCCAAAGGAGAGGTAGCCCAGAAGAGCTATTACTCTCAAAACAGAATTTTAAGGCATTTCACTATAAACGGAAAATCATTTTTTAAATTGTTGCCACCAAATATTATCGTCTTGTATTATATTTAAAGAAATTAAATAAGGAAGAATCTGCATGAATGTATGTATATTTCTCCCATAGTGAAAAAACGACGGTACCTAGAGCCATCGAATTTTGAATAAAGTAATCCTCTACCCGAACATAGGGGCCTGGAAACTTGAATTTTGAATTTCTAATTTGTTTTATTATCTATTTCATATTTTGTAAATCTTTAACGAATGTTTCATTAAAACGGTTTCAAAGCCAGCAATGGCACAACTTGACGAAAAAGAAAAACATTTTTATCTCCTGTGCGCGAGGCTGTCTATCGGAAATTCTAAAGATATGCTGTTTTTAAAAAACCCGGTCTGTACACCAGAGAAACTGGACTGGATTAAATTATTTAACTGCGGCAAAGCATGCTAGGACTATCCTCTTGCGGGGAAAAGATCGCTTTAAGGGGAAGACTTTCTAACCTATGAAAGAGGGGAAAAGACTTAGCAGTATTAGTAGAGAATGTAATAATTAGCATTTTTACATCATTTGAGAATTGGTGCAGTCTAATCTAAATTCATTTCTCTTTGTTAACTAAAAAAATATTATAATTAGTTTCTGTCGTCAGATTAAAAAAAAATTGATATTTAAAGCATAGCAGCTGAATAATTTAGTACATTGGAGGCAGATCATTTAATACATTCGAAACGCGTGTAGTCGTTTTTCATTTAACTTCATCCACACAAAAATATTCGAACTGTATTGCGCATGTTGCCGTCGCTTATTTATTTCCTTTTATCTCGTAATAACTTGAACACTTTTGATTAATCTTGGAAATTTTTAAGTGCTAAATGAACAGCATTAAGTTATATGAAACCGTTCACGTACCTTATGGGATTTTGATATTAAATTTATCTTATATAAATGCACATCTGAAACTCATATCCAATATCAACGCGCATCGCATCGTGAAGTTTTCGTTTAAAATCGCTACAGTACTAAGTTAACTGCGACGCGAATTTTCGGAAATTTTACGAAAATAAAAATTTTTCGCAAATTTTACATGTTTTCCCCACTATTTTTTTTATTTCTGTTGGGTGTTTTTTTACAATTAAATAATTATTAATATTTATAACTTAATTAACTAATAATTTAATAATAGATTGTTCTAATTTGCATGAAAAACAAAACACTCTTTGTCCTATCCGACATTGAAACCAAAATTTTGAACTTTGAATCATCGAACTTAGCCTGAGTAGCTAAGTGTTTGTCCACTAAAAGGAGAAAAATGTAGCATTTTCGTTTAAAAATTGAAAGTGCCATCTTTATCGTCCAGGCACAAATGCCTATAAGATATAGCTTGCACCATCTTGCTCATTTTAAGTTCTTAAACATTTAAAACGACGAAGAAGATTTATTAGTGCAAAGAGAAAGGGGCAATTTGCCCTGAAGGACTATTGTTTTCGTTTTGCGATTTTACGTCGAAAAAAATCTGTATTACTTCTCAAATCATTGCCACCATATATTATCGCCCTGTCGTATAATTAAATTAAATAATGAAGAATCTGCATAAATGTATGTAGGTTTCTCGCATAAGTGATGAAACAACAGTACCTAGAGCCATCAAAATTTGAATAACGTAATCTTCCATAGAATATGGTCATATGGAAGCTCTAGTTTGAATTTGAAATGTGTTTTATTATCGATTTCATATTTTGTAACACTCCAACGAACTGTTGATTAAAAATCTAAACGATTTCAAAGCGAGCAATGGCAACACTGTACGGGAGAAAAAAAAAAAAAAAAGAAAAAAAAAAAGAAAAAACACATTTTAATCTTCAGGACGCGAGACTCTGCATCGGAAATTCTAAAGATACGCTCATTTTAAAATTAATTTGCGATATTGCTGTTGAACTAAATTGTATAGTTTGAGTACGCAGAACATGATATTTAATAAATAAAGGTAACACAAAAAACGTTAAAAAAGACGACCCTTTGGACGTAATTTATAAGCTGAAACCCTTCAGATTTTTTTATCTTATTTATTTTTAACTGCATTCCTTTATTTGAAGGTAGAGCAAACTAATATATGAATTTCATTCATACAGCACGAGTGTGAAAGAAATTTCCATGTGAAGGAAAGTTTTCTTTCTAGTTTTTGAAGCACTAAAGCGGTAATTATCGAAGCTCATATGTCTGTAGGTCAGTAGCTACAGTCGACACCGATGACGATCGGTCTTTTTTTCAATTTGAAAACATATTACAGAGAAAAGGCAATGAATAAAAGCAGAAAATCTGTTATGTATAACATAACACTCTACGCTTATATGGAAAAGTTTCGGCACGAAGTATTAATTTTAGTGGTACATTCCGTTCACAACACCATTTATATATTAGTTATATAACTAATACTGTATTTTACAAGAATTGTTAGGCTTACGGTTTCGAATTATAAGGCTTAACACCATTTTTACAGTCTTTAAACTCATAATCATTGCTAGAATATGATTGGTTCATAAAGGCAAATATTATTTAAGAAATGCAATGTGTACTAATTACGTACTACACTCATGTCCAAAATTATCTTTACATACCCAAAAATGATGATATTCAATGAAATATCGAATCAATGTGATCCGTATTTGCAGGGAATGTGGGAAAACCAAGCCTAATTAGCATTATCCAATCAAAAGTAATCAATAGGTTTGTGATATGCAAATCTAGGCGTTACGTCATCCAAGGGGTGAATCAAGCGCTTTGCGCAAACTGAATATTTGAGTGAATTTCTGCAACATAGCGTTTGATTTCAGTGTGTAGGGACTTAAAGCGGTTTGTTATGGCTTCGAAGTATCATTTGGAAGAATCCGTAAAATGGCGAATTATCGGCCGTTTAGAAGCAGGGCAGTCAATCATGAAAAGCAGCCACATGTCTGAATATTTCAAGACAGACAGTCTCTAAGCTATGGAAACAGTTTCAAAATGATGGAAGTGTTGTAAGGAGGCCTGAACAAGGTCGGAAACGAATGACAACTGCTTCTGAAGATCGGTATCTGGCATTAACTGCCCGTCGTAACATAAAGGCTACTGCTCGCCAGTTAAGTTCAGAGCTTGCAGCCGCCACTGGAACTGTTGCATCACGGCAAACAATATACAGAAGACTTAATGAAAAAGGCCTTTATGCCAGAAAGCCAAGGGTATGTGTTTTACTGCCTTCACAGAAAAAGAGGGATCGCTTTAATTGGTGTAAAGAACATCAAAACTGGACTGAACATCAATGGTCCCATGTTCTCTTTACTGATGAGTCGCGGTTTAGTTTAACTGGTGATTCTAAACGTGTTTACATCTGGAGGGAGTCAGGAACACGAAATGATCCCTCGAACATTGTGGAACGTGACCGTTTCGATAGTGGAGGTGTGGATGGTATGGGTGGAATAATGATCGATGGACGCCCCCTACACGTGTTTCAGCAGAGGATCTGTGACAGGCCAGATATATCGAGATGAGGTCTTAGATCCTTATGTAAGACTTTTCAGGGGTGCATATGGACCTGACTTTTATTTATGGATGATTATGCCCGTCCACATCGAGGAAACCTCGTTGATGAATTCCTTGAAAGTGAAGACATTAAGCGAATACCTTGGCCACCAAACTCTCCTGACCTTAACCCGATAGAGAACTTATGGGACTACTTGGAAGAGCAATTGCACGTGACATCCTCCTCCTAGAGATGTAAATGCTCTGAAGACGGCATTGCTGGAAGAGTGGAGATTAATTCCCCAAACTGTGGTTAACAACGTTTTTCCAGCTTAAACCACGTTGTGATATGTGTGTACAAGTCAGGGGAGATCATATTCCTATTAAATTCGTAAGACTGAATTCTTTTTCTGAATCATTCCTTTTTTTTTTCTTAACTCTCTTTGTCACACTTTATTACCATTTTTATTGTTTTCATGCTACAATTTTATATCATATGAGGTGATCTTCAGTTTTTTCTTTTGCATTT